TTATTAAGCCTTATCCTTACACTTTTTTTTGTCCTTTTGCTATTAAAGTTATTTTGCAAGCAATATTGTAAAAAAAAAAGAAAAAAAAAGGGACATTCTTATTGTTAATTTGTTAACAATGTTGACTTTCTTGATTGAATTTATATTACAGAGTTAATTCATTACCGATGTTTTGCCCCGTTACACATGTTAAACCATTAGCGAAATCGTTTGAATATATAACAAGTATGAACTCATATGTAATGTGCATACGGTAAGAAATTAAGTTAAATCGCCATAACATGCCAGACTGCCGTAATAACGATAAGCTGTATTACTTACCCACTAGTAAATGCAGTTGGTCAATATGACGAACGTCCCCGGGCGATTAAAGATGCTATCTGTGATAAGGTGCACATGTATACCTGTAACTATTATACCGGTAATCACGATTAGCGGTAATAGGCTGTAATGCCGGATGTGAATGAGGATAGATCTACGTTTACGTTTTTAACCCGTCCGACACAGGAGACAGGTGCAGACGAGCACGTATGACCAGGGGCGTGGACAATTTTACACGGAAGTCGGTACCATTTCGGGTAGACCGTGTTAAACATGGCGGCTATTATGTCGATTATTGAAGGTATAAAAAGTGTGGATCTCAAAGTGAAAGTATTCATTTGGAATCATACAACTGACAGTAAGTACATACCAAGAGTTCAGAGTAATTGAAGTAGGCTGTTTTATCATTTGAATAACTGTAAATCGTTCGATGCTTAAACGCTAAGCTACAATATTTTATAAGATTTCTTTTTTCAAATATAATTGTAATATTTTTGAATGGATTAACCTACTGCTCACTTTTTTGTCAGAAAGTATATGAACTAATGGGTTTTTTTAGTTTCAAAATTGTATTGTAAAACTTAGTTAAACAAAACCGAAATTTGCTAAAAAAAACTTAATTAATTCTGTGTATGTATTTCAAAATTTGTTATGAGTTTGCAAAGGATGTGATACATATTTGGTTTAAAACCATGCTTCTCAAATGAGTAATAGACGCTTTTGATATAAATGTATGTCAAATGAACAAAAAGCAAATGTTCTAGATATTGTATTACATATGTACTTTGCATGACAAAGACATTGTGTTACACTAACAATGAAATAATTCGGATGTTACTTATCTAGTTCATTTCTGTTTTTAGGACAAGATGAAGAGCGTCGCCGCCACACTGATTGCTGCCATTTTCTGCCTCGGCCTGACCGCTTGTCTTGCCGATGATTTTGATGACTTCGGTTATCAGACCATGCAATATCCACAATACAGCACCGGATATGTCGGTGGATACAGTGGATACGGAAAGGGAATGGGACATGGATACGGTGGATACGGAAAGGGAATGGGACATGGATACGGAAAGGGATACGGAAAGGGCTACGGACAGAGCTATACCGAAGAGACCATCATTCGTGCCCCAATGGCGCCTATGCCTATGCCAATGCCAATGCCCTTCCCACCTGCACAACAGTCAACCAATGGCCTATTTGGAACCGGAACCGGAAATGAAGAGATCGGTCTTCTCTGTAAGTATATTCTACCAAATTACCCATATACAATTAAATGAAAATATATTTTATATCAATTTATGTTCCAGATATATGTCGTGTTTTAGATATACATTGTTAAAATAAAAAAAAGAGCAAGACTTAGTTTTAATTTCGCCTCGTGTTACTTTTCCGCTGATATTTATCATTTTTCGTAATTTCACTATTTCTGATTTATCCAATTATTGCCTCCTTATCTGCGCTATACCTTCCAAGAATTCATTTATTGTCTAACGATCAGGCTGTTTGTTTTACTTTCTTTTTCTCTCCTTTAAACAAATCGATTTTCTTGCATTATCAAGGCTAAACCAACACTTAATAGGGATTTAACGGACACTTTTCACCTCCATACCAGTATGCACGTACATCGGTTAGATCCACAAAACCTATATGCTTCCTATTAGATATGGTGGTGAACAACTGGCGTCTATAACGGCCAAAATGTTATAAAACTCTGTTCAATAAGTATATATATATTCTACATAACTAAGTAACTACTAGTAATACAGATACAAGTGTTCCCTTGTAATCATTATATTGACTTGTCCTAATAGGCTTATGTCCTTATATTGACATGTCAGTTTCTACCATGTTCTAATAGGTGTAGGTCATCTTAGTGATTCTGTCTTATGTTGGTTTCGCTTTACATTTGAAATAACTATAAGTAATAAAGATATAGGTATCCCTTGTATTTATTGTATTGACCTGTCTGATTCTTCAATGGTTTAATAGACTAATGTCTGCAAAATGTTTCCTTCTTACGGTGATCTTGTTTTATGCCAGACGTTGGAACAAACCAAATGACATTGGTCTCATTACGTGTATAGCTCTATGCCAGCAGTTCGTTCTAGTCGTGTGGTGTATGTATATACTGTTATGTGATGCAACGATTTCTCTTTTTCAGTGTTCGCCCTATTCGTTCTTCCTATCCTACTGAACGGAGGAAATGGCCTCCTCGGATAAATGATAAATGATGACGCTTTCATCTTTGTCTGTCAAAGCAAAAACAATGTAACATGTAAGTGTCGTATACATGTTGGGTCTTAAGGACATTTTCTGCAGTCATTTATATATTTTATGATTTAAAACTAAAGACTTACTTATAATGTTCCTGGAGAATTAAATCGCGTTGATTTGTTTAGAAAATATTCATTTATTTTCTTCAATTCTTTATCATTTTTTTGTACTTCACTAGACATAAATTGAAATTATTGAATTAACGATTACTGGTAAATGAATTATATCTTATAAATATTTTTTTTTGTCTTTTCAGATATCGCCCAATATCAAGGTTATGTCGTGTCGTCTGTGGAAATCCAAACATGTTGTTATCGTTAATAAAAACTAAATTATTCTGAAATGATTGGTTTATAGTTTTCTGTGTTAATACAAACGTACACATTTTTTACAATTAAGATTAAAAATTCCGCTGAAAGTACATGTACTTTTCAGGATGTCACATTGGCGATTATTGATTAGATATTTCTTTCTGAAATATTTTCCAAATGAAAGCAGTTCATTTAAATTAGTAAACAGTAACAGGTCTGATAACAAGGCGACTATTTTGTTGTCTTTACGAAAAACAATCAATCTATATCATCATATTACCTAAAACAAGCAAGATATTTGAGAAACTGTATTTACATGGAAACATCTATTAATTATTCACAGAGGATTTTTATAGCTTGTCGACGGATCGATAACATGTACATTATTCACTTCGACCAGTAAAGTTAAAGAAGATGAACACACATATGTAGTTGCTCTTTGTTTGTAAAAGATGCAGTATTTCATAAAGTAAAGGAATTACTCTGTACTATACAACTTTACACTGTACTAATTGGTCTTAATTACTATTGAAACAGAATGGGAAGTGCATAAACCCCCTTTAGTTGATTAAACATTAAAAAGTTGATTAAAAATTTCAAAAATTAGAGTTGTACTGGTTACATTATGTAATTTCAATTTAATATAGACTAAATTGTGTATATAATGAACCGTGGTATTATTTAAAAGTGATCACTGTGACTATCAAGGCTATTGCAAACGTTTTAACTATTCAGAACTTTAACTATTGTAAAATTGTATTATGCTAAACAAAATTACTGTTATTATGTTATTGGAAACAGTTAGAATATTGTTATATATGACTTCGGCATGGTATTTCAGTGAAGAAGCACTCCACAGTCGGCATCAGATCCATAAGATCAAATACACCAACAAATTACTTTTTACACATGTCGTATCTGTAAATAGAACGCCTTAATCTATAAACCGATTCGCACTTTGATGCTTAAGCCACCAAGCTTATATAACTTGTTAAATATACAGTTACATATGTTTTACCCCTCTAATAGCAACTACGCGAGCATCGTTGTTTCTCAACAGTCGCCTCCTTAGTAAAGCTCATCATAGGAAACGACAGCTGTAATTGAAAACATACAAATTTGGATAATAAAAATGAAGACAAACTTTATTTTACAACATTTCAAAATGAAACGAAACAAAATTATAACAACGTTAAATATGATTTGGCAATAGTTCAGGGTAATAAATGGATTTATACAAAAATATCACAAACATTTTCTTTATGTAGCAAGTAATGTAACATCTATTGTCATGCTACAGGTCTATGAATGATATATAGATGGCAAAATATTGTCATTTGTTTATTTATTTTTAATAATTTTGTCACCTGTTTATGGAAACACACGCCTTTAAAAAGAAAAATAACCCAATAAAACCAATTAAAAGAATAATCTTTTGTTGAATAAGTGTCATCATTTACTGTGAATTGAATAGTTATCATATATTTCACTCATGCGAAATATCAAAATATTCATCACAGAGATAACAATATTACATTTAAAGTAATGAGAAAATAAACAAATCTATGAAATCATGTAACAGTACCTTCATTATAGTGTACCAGTTTAGAGCGATGCTTGCCTACTTTAGTGAAAGGACACATATATGCCTCACAAATTATCAATGGCAAAAGACGGAAACATTGTAAGTGATGAAAACCTAAAAGTGGGACACTTGTTTACAATGCTTTGTACATTAAATCATGAAAAAACAGTGAGGGGGAAAAGAAACAAGAAACGTCTTTCTTTTGGGAGAGGATTCATTGTCATATTGAGAAATATATATAAAATGAGGATAAGTGAATAATCTTCAATAATGTCAATATCTCGTAAGTTATAAGTGATTCAATTTAATACATATATCAAACTTCACCCGATATCAAGACCTGCATGTTTACATGATCTTGTTTTATGCCAGGCGGTGGAACAAACCAAATAATATTGGTCTCATTATGTTTATAGCTCTATGCCAGCAATTCCTTCTAGTCGTGTACTGTTGTGTGATGCAACGACTTCTCATTGTCAGTGTTCGCCCTTTTCGTTCTCCCTCTCCTACTGAATGGAAGTACCGGCCACCTCGGATAAATGATAAATAATGTCTGTCAAAGCAAAATCAATGTAACATGTAAGTGTCGTATACATGTTGGGTATTAAGGACATTTTCTGCACTGTCATTTATATATTTTATGATTAAAAACTAAAGACGTATTTATAATGTTCCTGGAGAGAAAATGGCGTTGATTTGTTTAGAAAAAAGTCATTTATTTTCTTCAATTTATTATCTTTTTTTTTTTGTATTTCACAAGACATAAATTGAAATTATTGAATTAACGATTGCTGTTAAATGAATTATATCTTATAAATATTTTTTTTTGTCTTTTCAGATATCGCCCAATATCAAGGTTATGTCGTGTCGTCTGTGGAAATCCAAACATGTTGTTATCGTTAATAAAAACTAAATTATTCTGAAATGATTGGTTTATAGTTTTCTGTGTGAATACAAACGTACACATTTTTTACAATTCAGACGATGAAGAAACTAAAAATTCCGCTGAAAGTACATGTACTTTTCAGGATGTCACATTGGCGATTATTGATTAGATATTTCTTTCTGAAATATTTTCCAAATGAAAGCAGTTCATTTAAATTAGTTAGAACAACAGTAACAGGTCTGCTAACAAGGCGGACTATTTTGTTGTCTTTACGAAAACAAACAATCTATGTCATCATGTTACCTAAAACAAGCAAGATATTTGAGAAACTGTATTTACATGGAAACATCTATAAATTATTCACAGAGGATGTTTATAGTTTGTCGACTGATCGTTAGCATGTTACATTACTCACTTCGACCAGTAAAGTTAAAGAAGATGAACACACATATGTAGTTGCTCTTTGTTTGTAAAAGATGCAGTATTTCATAAAGTAAAGGAATTACTCTGTACTATACAACTTTACATTGTACTAATTGGTCTTAATTACTATTGAAACAGAATGGGAAGTGCATAAACCCCCTTTAGTTGATTAAACATTAAAAAGTTGATTAAAAATTTCAAAAATTAGAGTTGTACTGGTTACATTATGTAATTTCAATTTAATATCGACTAAATTGTGTATATAATGAACCGTGGTATTATTTAAAAGTGATCACTGTGACTATCAAGGTTATTGCAAACGTTTTAACTATTCAGAACTTTAACTATTGTAAAATTGTATTATGCTAAACAAAATTACTGTTATTATGTTATTGGAAACAGTTAGAATATTGTTATATATGACTTCGGCATGGTATTTCAGTGAAGAAGCACTCCACAGTCGGCATCAGATCCATAAGATCAAATACACCAACAAATTACTTTTTACACATGTCGTATCTGTAAATAGAACGCCTAAATCTATAAACCGATTCGCACTTTGATGCTTAAGCCACCAAGCTTATATAACTTGTTAAATATACAGTTACATATGCTTTACCCCTCTAATAGCAACTACGCGAGCATCGTTGTTTCTCAACAGTCGCCTCCTTAGTAAAGCTCATCATAGGAAACGACGGCTGTAATTGAAAACATACAAATTTGGATAATAAAAATGAAGACAAACTTTATTTTACAACATTTCAAAATGAAACGAAACAAATTTATAACAACGTTAAATATGATTTGGCAATAGTTCAGGGTAATAAATGGATTTATACAAAAATATCACAAACATTTTCTTTATGTAGCAAGTAATGTAACATCTATTGTCATGCTACAGGTCTATGAATGATATATAGATGGCAAAATATTGTCATTTGTTTATTTATTTTTAAAATTTTTGTCACCTGTTTATGTAAACACACGCCTTTAAAAAGAAAAATATCCCAATAAAACCAATTAAAAGAATAATCTTTTGTTGAATAAGTTTCATCATTTACTGTGAATTGAATAGTTATCATATATTTCACTCATGCGAAATATCAAAATATTCATCACAGAGATAACAACATTACATTTAAAGTAATGAGAAAATAAACAAATCTATGAAATCATGTAACAGTACCTTCATTATAGTGTACCAGTTTAGAGCGATGCTTGCCTACTTTAGTGAAAGGACACATATATGCCTCACAAATTATCAATGGCAAAAGACGGAAACATTGTAAGTGATGAAAACCTAAAAGTGGGACACTTGTTTACAATGCTTTGTACATTAAATCATGAAAAAACAGTGAGGGGGAAAAGAAACAAGAAACGTCTTTCTTTTGGGAGAGGATTCATTGTCATATTGAGAAATATATATAAAATGAGGATAAGTGAATAATCTTCAATAATGTCAATATCTCGTAAGTTATAAGTGATTCAATTTCATACATATATCAAACTTCACCCGATATCAAGACCTGCATGTTTACATGATCTTGTTTTATGCCAGGCGGTGGAACAAACCAAATAATATTGGTCTCATTATGTTTATAGCTCTATGCCAGCAATTCCTTCTAGTCGTGTACTGTTGTGTGATGCAACGACTTCTCATTGTCAGTGTTCGCCCTTTTGGTTCTCCCTCTCCTACTGAATGGAAGTACCGGCCACCTCGGATAAATGATAAATAATGTCTGTCAAAGCAAAATCAATGTAACATGTAAGTGTCGTATACATGTTGAGTATTAAGGACATTTTCTGCACTGTCATTTATATATTTTATGATTAAAAACTAAAGACGTATTTATAATGTTTCTGGAGAGAAAATGGCGTTGATTTGTTTAGAAAAAAGTCATTTATTTTCTTCAATTTATTCTTTTTTTTTTTGTATTTCACAAGACATAAATTAAAATTATTGAATTAACGATTGCTGTTAAATAAATTATATCTTGTAAATATTGTTTTCTCTTTTCCGATATCGCCCAATATCTAGGTTATGTCGTGTCGTCTGTGGGAAAACCAAACTTGTTGTTATCGTTAATAAAAACTAAATTATTCTGAAATGATTGGTTTATAGTTTTCTGTGTGAATACAAACGTACACATGTTTTACAATTCAGACGATGAAGAAACTAAAAATTCCGCTGAAAGTACATGTACTTTTCAGAATGTCACATTGGCGATTATTGATTAGATATTTCTTTCTGAAATATTTTCCAAATGAAAGCAGTTCATTTAAATTAGTTGGTACAACAGTAACAGGTCTGCTAACAAGGCGGACTATTTTGTTGTCTTTACGAAAACAAACAATCTATATCATCATGTTACTTAAAACAAGCAAGATATTTGAGAAACTGTATTTACATGGAAACATCTATTAATTATTCACAGAGGATTTGTATAGCTTGTCGACTGATCGTTAGCATGTTACATTACTCACTTCGACCAGTAAAGTTAAAGAAGATGAACACACATATGTAGTTGCTCTTTGTTTGTAAAAGATGCAGTATTTCATAAAGTAAAGGAATTACTCTGTACTATACAACTTTACACTGTACTAATTGGTCTTAATTACTATTGAAACAGAATGGGAAGTGCATAAACCCCCTTTAGTTGATTAAACATTAAAAAGTTGATTAAAAATTTCAAAAATTAGAGTTGTACTGGTTACATTATGTAATTTCAATTTAATATAGACTAAATTGTGTATATAATGAACCGTGGTATTATTTAAAAGTGATCACTGTGACTATCAAGGCTATTGCAAACGTTTTAACTATTCAGAACTTTAACTATTGTAAAATTGTATTATGCTAAACAAAATTACTGTTATTATGTTATTGGAAACAGTTAGAATATTGTTATATATGACTTCGGCATGGTATTTCAGTGAAGAAGCACTCCACAGTCGGCATCAGATCCATAAGATCAAATACATCAACAAATATATATTTACACATGTCTTATCTGTAAATAGAACGCCTAAATCTATAAAACCAATTCGGACTTTAATGCTAAAGCCACCAAGCTAATATAACTTGTAAAATATACAGTTACATATGCTTTACCCCTCTAATAGCAACTACGCGAGCATCGTTGTTTCTCAACAGTCGCCTCATAATTAAAGCCCTTTATAGGAAACGACAGCCGTAAGTAAAAACATACAAATTTGGATAATAAAAATGAAGACAAACTTTATTTTACAACATTTCAAAATGAAACGAAACAAATTGATAACAACGTTAAATATGATTTGGCAATAGTTCAGGGTAATAAATGGATTTATACAAAAATATCGCGAACATTTTCTTTATGTAGCAAGTTACGTAACATCTATTGTCATGCTACAGGTCTATGAATGAAATATAGATGGCAAAATATTGTCATTTGTTTATTTATTTTTAATAATTTTGCCACCTGTTTATGGAAACACACGTCTTTAAAAAGAAAAATAACCCAATAAAACCAATTAAAAGAATAATCCTTTGTTGAATAAGTGTCATCATTTACTGTGAATTGAATAGTTATCATATATTTCACTCATGCGAAATATCAAAATATTCATCACAGAGATAACAATATTACATTTAAAGTAATGAGAAAATAAACAAATCTATGAAATCATGTAACAGTACCTTCATTATAGTGTACCAGTTTAGAGCGATGCTTGCCTACTTTAGTGAAAGGACACATATATGCCTCACAAATTATCAATGGCAAAAGAGGAAAACATTGTAAGTGATGAAAACCTAAAAGTGAGACACTTGTTTACGATGGTTTGTACATTAAATCATGAAAAAACAGTGAGGGGGAAAAGAAACAAGAAACGTCTTTCTTTTGGGAGAGGATTCATTGTCATATTGAGAAATATATATAAAATGAGGATAAGTGAATAATCTTCAATAATGCCAATAGCTCGTAAGTTATAAGTGAATCAATTTAATACATATATCAAACTTCACCCGATATCAAGACCTGCATGTTTACATTCTCCGTGATTTGTACGTACAGCTTTTACATTATTTATAGTACAACTATTTCACTTTCTCCTAAATGTTTCCTTCTTACGGTGATCTTGTTTTAAGCCAGGTGGTGGAACAAACCAAATATCATTGGTCTCATTACGTGTATAGCTCTATGCCAGCAATTCCTTCTAGTCGTGTACTGTTGTGTGATACAACGATTTCTCATTTTCAGTGTTCGCCCTTTTCGTTCTCCCTCTCCTGCTGAATGGAAGTACCGGCCACCTCGGATAAATTATAAATAATGTCTGTCAAAGCAAAATCAGTGTAACTTGTAAGTGTCGTATACATGTTGGGTCTTAGGGACATTTTCTGCACTGTCATTTATATATTTTATGATTTAAAACTAAAGACGTATTTATAATGTTCCTGGAGAGAAAATGGCGTTGATTTGTTTAGAAAAAAGTCATTTATTTTCTTCAATGTATTATCCTTTTTTTGGTATTTTACAAGATATGAATTGAAATTATTGAATTAACGATTACTGTTAAATGAATTATATCTTATAAATTGTTTCTTCTCTTTTCCGATATCGCCCAATATCAAGATT